TAATGATCAAACAACCGAAATAAGAGCTAGAATAGAAATAGCAAGAAATGCGTTTTTAAAAATAGAATAGAATAGAAATATGCTTTATTGTCACTGAAAATTATTGAACAATTTTATGGACAAAGCTAAAAAATAAATCAGTCAAATAGTACAAAAAGTATAAAACAAAATCAAATATAGTAAAAAACAGAATAACACAATTTTAAATTAGTAAAATTATTGTTTAACCTACATAATTTGTACAGACAACAACAAATGAGACAAATTGTAGCCACTGCTTGAGACACCCAAATGTAATTATAAACAATACTAATTTTGTTTCTTTGTTATACATAAGAAACTCGTCAACTGAATAATATGGTCTTTCTGAGAGATAGATTTTTGTCACCTTACGAAACTTAATGAAAAATGTTGCGGATTTAATTTTTCTTGGAAGGTGATTATAAAGTTTCTTTGCACGATATAGAATAGAATTCTTTATTAGCTGAGTGGACGGGATCGGCAAATAAACGTTACAATCCAAATTTCTAATGGAGTAGCCATGGTCAGGTCTATCGGGAAAAATGTTTAGATGCTTTCGAATCAAACAAACCGTTTTCAAAATAAATAAAGAGGGAAGCGTCAAAATTCCGTGATTTTTGAAGTAGGTCTTGCAATGAGTTGTTTGTTTGAGACCAAATAGATAACGGATTGCTCTTTTTTGCAACTTAAAAATAGTATCAAATTGGGCCGCTGTACTAGAACCCCAAAATGGGAGCCCATATCGAAGATGGGACTCGAACAATGAGAAATATGCCATTTTGGCAGAAGATAAATTTAGTTCCTTCGAAACAGATCTTATTGCAAAGCAAGCTGAGGCTAGTTTCTTCCTTAAGGAGTCAGTATGCAAGGACCATTTGAGATCACTTTCAATGAGAATACCTAGAAATTTCACGGAATTTACGATATTGATTTGGCTCTCATTCAAAAGCAAGGGTTGCATGACTCCTTTATAAGATAATGCTACAGTCTTATCCACGTTAAAGCTAAGTAAGTTGGAGTCTGACCAAGTCTTGATTATAAGTAAATCAGCGGTTATAATTGAATGAAGCGTTGAAATATCAGAGCTGCTCCAAGTAATACTGGTATCATCAGCAAATAGAAAAATTTTCCCTTTAATTTTCAAGTAAGTGATGTCATAAATGAAAAGTAAAAAAAGAATGGGACCTAATACTGAACCTTGCGGTACTCCACACTCAATATCTTTACAACTAGAGTCGGTGTCATTTATTCTAACCAATTGTTTCCTACCTACCAAGTAAGTTTTGAACCAGTTCAAAGACACACCTCGAATTCCATAGAAAGTTAATTTTTTTAATAGAATGTCGTGATTTACGCAGTCAAAGGCTTTGGAATAGTCGCAGAAAACGGTGGCGGAGGAGAGGTTACTGTTTAGTGATAGATATACATCATGTAACACAGAAAATATGGCATCACTAGTGCATTTATTAGACAAAAAGGCGAACTGATTTTGCGATAAAATATTATATTTAAGGTGAAAGGGCATAAGTCGAACTTTTATAAGTCTTTCAATGATTTTGGATAGTGCTGGTAACAAGGCAATAGGTCTCAGGCATCAGATTTTTCTCCACCTTTATGAAGAGGAATGACGATGGCAGTCTTTAGGCAGTTAGGGAATGTACCTTTTTCAAGGGAATCATTTACTAGCGAGACCATGACCTCCAAAACATTATGCGGTACATTTGAGAAAATTTTAATAGATAATCCATCTGTACTACAGGACGATGTGCTTTTTATACTACGAATTGTTGAAATTAGTTCCGTCTTATCAACTGGTCTTAAAAAGAAGGTATCAGCAATGTTTTTTGAATTAGAGAGATAGGAAACTGGATCTTATTGTGGCGAAATAGTTGAGGTTATATTTTTACTCACATTAACAAAGTTATCATTTAGATTTTCGGGGTTAGGAAAAGAAAAGGTTTGATTTGCTGTACTGGTTTTATTTCGAAAATCGTTTATTATTGACCAAGTTTCTTTTGAAATATTTTTTTATCTTGTTAAGCGATTATGAAAGTAGGATTTTTTGGCTACTTTGAGTAGTTTTATATAGCATTTTCTGTACTTATTGATATAATCAGAGATGGGGATACTGTCATTAAATTTTTTAATATATAGCAGAGAACGCATATTTTTCGCAGATATGCGAATGCCTTTGGTAATCCAAGGTTTGTTATGTTTTGGCCTGATGTTTAATACAGGAAATGCTTTATTAAAAATAGATACAAGTCTATTTAGAAAATCACTAACATTACAGTCAATGTCCCCAGAAGAAAAACTCCAGTCAGAAGTCAAGCATGAATTATAGAATTTACGAAAGTTTTGAGTGGAAAAAATCCTACCTAATCGTCGGGTTTTTGAGTGAGGTGTTTGTAAACTGCTAAACTTGGTATATACCGCTTCATAATCAGAAAGCCCCCCACTAATAACTGTAGAATGGACGTCAGCGGGTGGAAAATCGGAAACCACATAATCAATTGTCGAGGATGATGTTTTTGAGATTCTTGTTGGAGAATTAACGTGCATTGTGAGACCATATGATTCAAAAATAGTTACCAAAGACAGTTGGGTCGCACAAACAGCAGCGTAGTCAATATTAAAATCACCACATAAAATTTTTCTGCTTTTAATGGGCAGAATATCTAACAAATTTAGCAGGCTCTGAAAAAATAGTTCAGTATCAGAGCTAGGTGATATATAAATGCAAATAATGTATAGATTAAATTTCTTATTATAAATCAAAGAAAATTCGAAGTAGTTTTCACCCAGCAAATAGTCATATTTCGAAACTGCAAATACTGAAATAAAAACAATTCTCTGCAACAAAGATCTTAGATTAGAACTGAGAGTAAGAGCACTGAGATGCTACGTGATTTCGATACTGCAGTATGGACTCGAAAGCTGAACATTGAAACAAGAACACATAAATAAGTTACAGTCCTTTGAAATGTGGTGTTGCAGGAGGATGCTTAGAATAGCATGGGCACAGAAGAAAACTAACACGGAAGTATTGCGAGAAATTGGCAAAGAATGCGAAATAATAAACACGATAAAAATAAGAAGGTTACAATATCTGGGACACGTAATGAGGGGACAGCGATATGAACTGCTAAGGCTAATAATACAGGGAAATATAAGAGGAGGAAGGAGTATAGGAAGAAGGAGAGTGTCATGATTGAAGAATTTAAGGGACTGATTGAAATGCAGTTCTATAGAACTCTTTAGAGCAGCAGTAGATAAAGTAAAGATAGTGATGATGATAACTAACCTCCGATTGGGAGACAGCACTTAAAGAAGAAGAAGGTACGAGATACCCCTTTAAAAACTGAAGGTATGCTGGCCTCTTTAAATTACCTTTAAATAAGTAGGGTCCGATGATTCTATTTCTTACAATGTCAGCCCATACGTTTATCTTTTGCATAGTATGACGGTTGACCTCGCTATTTAATGTAAATGTAGCCTCATCAGAAATAATAATATTTTGAATCAAGAGAGGGTTTCGGTGGCAGTTATCCATCATTGTTTAGCAAAATTGTATTCTTTCATCTGGATCATCCTCGTTTAATTCCTGTACAAATGTGCATCTAAACGGTACAGGTGCAATTTTTCAAGTTTCGTTATTTTGTTTATCGCTGTTTTGCAAACATCGAGATCACGACTAACCTTCGAACAGAGGTATGCGCATCTTCTTTAAAAGCAAGTAGAACATCCAATGTTGTATCATAATTTACAGAAGGACGAGTTGATTTACATGCATTTTCAACCGTACCAGTTTCTCGAAATTTATTTTCAATCTTACTTGATTGCGTTATGGGTCTTTCTGGTATTTACCATTAAATAAATTACACACTTCCATCTGAGTTAGCGGTTTGTCTCCATACCCAATCATCATGCGTAGTTCAATTCTTTACTTTACACTCAAATTTATTTCTATTTTAAATTAATTTAAGCAATAATACAGAACATTCACGAATTAATATAATTATTTTACCACTTAATTGTTATTGAACGTTACTAAAAATAATTAAATTTCACTAAAAACTAGTAGTAGGCTACTTTTTTGCAATTGAAAATAAATAATTTATTTTCTAAGAGCATATCTTTTAAATTATATCCATTAGACACCGAGTATTATACTTTTTTGGAATCAGCTCATTTTTATCTATGTAAAAATGTCATAAAATATAGGGAGTTTAATTTAAAAAAAGAGCTGATGTCGTCATCACCTTAATGTGTATCACCTTTTATAATAAAATTTTGTTGTAAAATGTAGAACAATAAACTTAAAAATCGACGTGTTTGAGATTTTTTTAGGAGGCTTTTTATTTAGGAAATATGAAATTTATTCCATACTTTACGGACACACTGTATGGTATCCATCCACTAGACTTGTAAAAGCTAGTACAGGGTCCCAGAATTCTGGAAAGATTATCATAAAGATACCCAATTCATAAAGATATTTTTCCAAAAAAAAAAAAATGTCACAAGAAAATAGCTTCAGAACTACATTTTTAGTTATTCATTATGTCAAGTTTCCCTAAAATGTCTAATTAGAACTCACAAAGAATCACGTTGTATACATATTCATTTCTAATAATTTGTATTGGAGAAAATGTTTCCAATAACATAAACATATGCACGCAACAAGTTTTGACCTTCAACTTTCATCGAACTTTACATAAGTTATAGTGAAAGACCAGGGTAATACCTTTACCCACCGTTCGCAGAAATAAACCAAAACAACAATTTCGCGAAACCTGCTACATGTAAATTATATTTTATTGGAAATCCCGTAAACACTCGTTTTTTCTGCAATCAACCAGATTTATCAATATAAATAAGAGCTTCCAAAAGAGAGTCAGCACAATTGTTCAACCAACGATAAAAAGAACTACATTTGTATTCAACGTAGACCACAGATCTGCAAAATAAAACATTTCAACATGAAAGGCTATTTCATCTTTGCCGTTTTGTTGATCCTTACCATCGGTACCGAACTTGCTTTCGGTGACTGTCTTTCCGGAAGATATGGAGGTCCATGTGCAGTATGGGACAACGAAACCTGCCGCAGAGTCTGTAAGGAAGAAGGACGAGTAAGTGGGCATTGCAGCGCTAGTCTGAAGTGTTGGTGTGAAGGATGTTAGCCTTTTACAGCCATTATACCATTTATTTAGTTTTATATTATCACTCTGTTATATTAGCAAATATTAAAATATAATTTTTTTTTAAAAAGTACTTGAATTTTATTTTTTCGATACTAATCTATCATAATAGTTTTCAGAATAGTAAACAGATAGGGGGAATTTACCAAAATTTGAGGAAAACAGTCGTTTGTACTATTGTTTTATATACTCTTTTATTTGCTTTTATTGATTGATTTATTTCCAATTATATTAACACCTACTCATATCATTTTGTTTCTGTATATCTTGTTTATTATCTACTTTAGTGGGTACTTGCGTTATGAGATAATAATGATTAAAAGCTGACTAGGTACAAAAATATAAGAAAATTTGAGTTGTTAGCCAAACGCCACAATTAAATACCACATGCCCTTATTAACTTCACTATAGCATTATTATATTAAGATTTGTAATTGCAATTTCCTGCCAATAGGCCAGTAAAATTGAAGTTGGATTCTCAACATTGTTTTCGTTTTGTGAATATAGTGATTTCCGTGTAATCTCCTGTCGAGGTGCAAATTTAAATATTAACTTTTTTTGTCTGACGAATGGTTGCCATTTAGTATTATTGCTGAACACCTATTTCGTCTTAGGCCGAAGATGACATGGATTTATTTAGTCTCGTTAATTTAAATTTTTCATTTTTCTAATTATTTTTGGATTTTATTTAAGAAGGGTTGTGAGACAGCCACTGGATTTTAATAAAAGGAAAGTCATTCAGTATCACCTGCGAAAGTCTGTATTATTGTGATTCTTGTGGTTGGTAGATCTGCAGTGAAAACATTCTAATTCATATTTAACTGAAGGGTATCTGTCATATAAGTAGTATTTTAAAAATTCATAGAATTCATAAAAAGTTTTTTGGTTTGTAAAAGTAGTCCTTTGGACCATCGTTTATCGAAGGAATGGCTTATATGAAAAAAGGCTGTCTGAGCAATATCGTTTATTTGGAAGTTCTTTACTATGTTTGACTAGCCATGAGATATACATATTTACGGTTTCATGCTTTTATCTAAACCCAATTTAAAATCACGGCATACGGTTTTTGCTGTATACCTTAACTGGCTTGATACTTTTAATATTATATTTTTCCTGGTGTAGGTACGGTGTTATTATTATGTTGAAAATTTGTAATATTGCTGTTATTAATTTTTTTGTAAATTTTTGAAGTATCCAGTCTTTTTTGCTTTATTATAACATAGCTAACAGCTGCTCCATTTATTAAGGTTCATTTAGTACACCATGAAAAAATGCAAGACATTAAACCTAAAAAATAAAACTGGCGAACTTCTCACAGAAAAAAGGAAATAATGATCAGATAAAGAGAATATTTTCAAGAAATGCTACAAAGACAATGTGATCAAAAAAGAAAACAACCTGTTGGACCTAAGAATAGAACATGATATTGTAGATCCAATAACCATAAATAAGCTGCAAGAAGCTTTTACAAAGATGAAAAACGGGCACCAAGGTATGACAGAATATCAAGTAAGGTGATGAACAAAATGGGACAAATTGCAGCAAAGTTATTACTAAAGACATTTAATGCCACATGGAGAGAAAAACAGATATTCTCCCAATTGACTGGCAGATGGTTCATGTAGTACCGATTAAAAGGGCGATAGAACGAATTGTAACAACTACAGAAAATGGATTCAGAAAAGGGAGACGCACCCATGATCATATATTTACCATCAAATAAATAATAGAAAAATATTATATATATATATATATATATATATATATATATATATATATATATATATATATATATATATATATATATATATATATATATATATATATATATAAGAAAAAAGAAGTACTTGTGACTCGTTTGGAAAAAATATAACACTGTTTTTGATGGGTTGGAGTCAATAAAAGGGGCTATTTGTTGACTATTTTTTACTCGAGCTTTCAATTGTGATTACAATTTTTATCAAGAGCTTCTAAAAAATACAAAATGTCTTACAAAGTTGAACTAGAAATAAAAAATTTTTTGTTAACTTACCAAATAAAATTAGTTTTTTATATGAAACTACTGCTTACATAATAAATACAAAAAATATTAATAAAAAAATGCCTTATTCTAATAAATATTTCTCTGAAAAATTTAGATAAAGTTTCTTAAGAAAAAATTGAATTTATAAACAAAAATAGAATAGCTACAACCAGCCTAAAATGACATAAATACTAACTTAAAAATTTTTATTTTTGACATATTGTCAAAAATAAAATTTTGTTTAAAAAATTCTTCTTTGTTAAGTAACAAAAAAGAAGAAGATTTATTCACCATTGATAGATGCCCGAAAAAATGTAACAAATACATGGAAAATTCAAACTGTGATTTTTACTGACTGCATAAATTAAATAGAAATTATATAATTATAAATTTTGCTTAAATTTTGAATTTCTGACCTTTTGTTTAAATTATTATCACTTTTGCTAATACAAACCATTTCCAAAAAAGTTCTTTTAAATTTATTACTTTCATTACATAAAATTTTAATATTATCAAAATCCATAATATGGTCTTTGTCTATTACATGCTCTGCCAAAGCACAAGATGGTTTCTTAATTCTACAATCACTCTTGTGAGAAATAATGCGATTTGAGAGATTTCTTCCAGTCTCACCAATATACTCAGCTTCACACTGAGTACAAACAATGCTGTATACTACATTTGTTTGATCTAATTTGTCTATAGGATATTTAGTTTTGGAATATAAAGATGAAATAGTTTTGATGTTCTTTGTTGCTATTTTTATATTGTCAATAACCTTTAATGTTTGTATTAATTTAGGAGTTAATGATGGTATAAAAGGTAGTGAATGATAATATATGTTTTGATTGTTGGATACAGTGTTTTGAGATTTAGCAAAAAATGGTGTTAAGTTATTTATATTTAATAAATTAGAAAAAAGCATCCTATGTAGCATATCAGGAGGATAAGAGTTTTCAATTAAAATATTTTTTAACAAATGAAGATCTTCTTGTAGGTAGTCTGGATGAGAAAGTTTTAAAACACGTTCCTTTAATCCTGTTATAAGGTTCATTTTCATTTTATTTGGATGATTAGAGTAATAGCTTATCATTCACTACCTTTTATACCATCATTAACTCCTAAATTAATACAAACATTAAAGGTTATTGACAATATAAAAATAGCAACAAAGAACATCAAAACTATTTCATCTTTATATTCCAAAACTAAATATCCTATAGACAAATTAGATCAAACAAATGTAGTATACAGCATTGTTTGTACTCAGTGTGAAGCTGAGTATATTGGTGAGACTGGAAGAAATCTCTCAAATCGCATTATTTCTCACAAGAGTGATTGTAGAATTAAGAAACCATCTTGTGCTTTGGCAGAGCATGTAATAGACAAAGACCATATTATGGATTTTGATAATATTAAAATTTTATGTAATGAAAGTAATAAATTTAAAAGAACTTTTTTGGAAATGGTTTGTATTAGCAAAAGTGATAATAATTTAAACAAAAGGTCAGAAATTCAAAATTTAAGCAAAATTTATAATTATATAATTTCTATTTAATTTATGCAGTCAGTAAAAATCACAGTTTGAATTTTCCATGTATTTGTTACATTTTTTCGGGCATCTATCAATGGTGAATAAATCTTCTTCTTTTTTGTTACTTAACAAAGAAGAATTTTTTAAACAAAATTTTATTTTTGACAATATGTCAAAAATAAAAATTTTTAAGTTAGTATTTATGTCATTTTAGGCTGATTGTAGCTATTCTATTTTTGTTTATAAATTCAATTTTTTCTTAAGAAACTTTATCTAAATTTTTCAGAGAAATATTTATTAGAATAAGGCATTTTTTTATTAATATTTTTTGTATTTATTATGTAAGCAGTAGTTTCATATAAAAAACTAATTTTATTTGGTAAGTTAACAAAAAATTTTTTATTTCTAGTTCAACTTTGTAAGACATTTTGTATTTTTTAGAAGCTCTTGATAAAACTTGTAATCACAATTGAAAGCTCGAGTAAAAAATAGTCAACAAATAGCCCCTTTTATTGACTCCAACCCATCAAAAACAGTGTTATATATATATATATATATATATATATATATATATATATATATATATATATATAATATAGAAACAAGAAAAAATATGTATCTGGCGTATATAGACTTTACAAAGGCTTTTGCAATGTAAACCAAGGCAAAAATTATGGGAAATATTAGAAAAGAGAGGTATTGGTAACAAATTGATAAAGGCAATTAAGGACATTTACAACAGCAGTATCAACTATGTCATCAGTCAAAATAAAACATTAAAACCATTTACTACAAACGAGGATCTGAGACGAGAAAAAAGATTAAGTCCAATACTATTTATAATATACATGAATGAGATAATTAAGGAATGTAACGTAAAAGTAAATAAAGTGCATGTGGGTTATAGAAATTTAAGAAGAATATACATTTCGGAAGGAGAATTCGAAAGAAAGAAGTATAAAATTTTGGAATGAAGTTCTAAAAAAATACGGAATGACAGTTCAATATTTTGAAATAGAATTAAAAGACAAGGGGAGACAGGAAACAGGTATAAATAATATAATTCGAAAAACGATGAACCTATACTATTAAATGAATAATAAATTCATAAATAAGATTGAAATTACAAGAAAAACAAAAATTAATGAGTTAAAGTCAATATGTAGGCCTGTAATTTTTGGATAGAAGTCGTGAATACTAACAGAATTGCAAAAAAATAAAATACAGGCAGCAGAAATGAAATATCTGAGACGATTTCGAAGAGTTACCAAGAGATTGACTACGGAACACTCAAATGAGAGAAGATTTGCAAATAGAGTCAACATTAGAATATGTAGAAAGAAGGCAAATCCATTGGTGGGGTCATCTTCAGAGAAGGGAGAATACAAAACCAGTGAAAAAAATTTGGCAGGTAAAAACATGGGA